TTATGAATGAATTTTCTTCAAAAAAAATTGGACTAACCGCTTTCTCTCCAGCATTTGCTATGATTGACTAGAAATTTGAGCGTTGCATCATTCGGCGTCTCTGGAGATTGCGCCTGGAAAAGTTTTCCTTTCCTTTCCCTGGGTGAGAACCTGGCTTAAGGCTAACGTAATTGGGGCTCTACCTCCTGCGCTTTAGAACAACTATCTGAAGGTGAAAAAATACACAAGAAGGAGGAGTTGAATTGTGTATTGTGAATTCTTTTTACTTCTGAAAAACAACTTGAGAATCTGAACAAGTTCAGATTCTGGATGTAAAGTTTTTAACAGCGGAATTAATCAAATACATGAGCAATAAGTAAGACAACACACACTTTTATCTTGGTTCCTCCCACAAACTGAGGTAGTCTAATCCCCTTGTCCAACAAGAAATTTTCACTATAATCAATCAAATTACAAAGTGCTCAAGCAAACTAGCAAGAGACTTCAACTACTCAATCACGCTTAAAAGAGACTTCTGCTCAAGCACAAAGACAAGAGGTTTCCACTGTTCAAATAAACTAGCAAGAGACTTCCTATACTCTAAAAGAAGAGTCTAGGAGAATAAATAACCACTATACTTGATGTAAAATCATAAGTATATAAGAGATACAGTACACACAAAAAGATTCTTTAAACACTTAAGATTTCTAAGCTATGCAAGGATAATAAATCTCAAGATCTTGTGCATTAAATAACTTTAGCTCAAATATGTCCAGAGTTGTTCTTGTTAGATGGTTAGTTTTCTTCCTTAAAAATCTTCAACTCCTTTTATAGAGACAGAAAAAGAGATGTTGGAAGGTAACTTTAACAAGTGAACTATATTGAGAAGTAGTTCCAAGAGAGACGTTGGAAGTTAATTTTTTGAGATCTTCATCTTTGTGTAATAGTTTTAACCAGAGCATATTTCTTATACTAGGTATCTACAAATATGTTGGGGCATACTTAAGCAGTCTTGTCAACTTTCCTTGAGCCTTGCACTAAGAAACTCTAGTTGAGTTTCTCCAAAAATCTGGATTTAACAAGATGGATCTCCTTGGTGCTATAAATGAGCCTGAAGAGTGTCTTCTCACTTGTGCAATAGAGTGTAGTTTGGTATGCCTAGAGAACATGTGGGATATCCTTGACCCAATTTCCTTTGTACCTCTCGAGTATTCTCCCCATTCCTCTCAATAATACTTAGATGACAACTTTTGTTTGCCCATTGGTGTGGGGTTGTTCTACTAATGCAAAAAGATGCTTGACATCGAGATCCTCAAATAGTTTCTAAATATTTTGTCTATGAATAAGTTCCCATTATAGGTAATTATGGATTTAGGAATGTTTTACCTTGAAATGGTGATTTTCTTTAAGAATTTCTAAATGTTGGTTGTTGTATTCTTTGATAAGGATCTTGCTTCAATCCATTTGGTAAATAATCTACGACTATAATTAGAAACTTCAATTTCCTGAGAGATAAAGGGGAATGACCAAGATTTTCATACCCTCATTGGGATAATTTTCATGGTGACGTCAAAGTGTTGATCTCGGATGAGAGAGCAATGTAGACGTCCTTATGTTTCTAACACTGCTCACACTTCTTGACATAAGTTTTGACATTTTGAACCATCAATCTCTAGTATTAATTTCTCTAAGAATCTTCTTAGTGAGGGTTCTTCCTCCTATATTTTTTATTGGATATTCCTTTGTGGACTTCGGATAGAACATATTCGACTTCCTCCTCTTTAAGACATTTTAACAAAGAGGCGGGACATGCTTATTTCGTATATAATTCCTCCTATGATTGAATATGAACATGCTCTTATTTTTACAAGGCTTGCCTTAGCATAATCGGTTGGCAAACTTCCATACTCAATGTATGTTATAATTGACATTATGTATGAGAAGCACATGGTACCTTCATTCATGGCCACCATCATGCCTGGTAGGATGATATTGGGTTTTTCCAACATTTCTTGAATGAATTAATGATTTATATGTGACATTATTGTGCTTACAAGACTGGACAAAACATATTCCCTTATGTTCATTTCTCGAGGTATGTGGGTGATCTCACATGATCTAAAGAGGCTGGTTGTTTCCTTCACTATGGTGACGCATTTCTATAATAATAGGTATTTGGATTGCGCTTATCCTTTGACTTATGAGATAGCCAATTATGAATCTGTGTGTAATTTGACTTCCTCTTCTCTCATATCTAACACTAGGGTGAGATCAACGATGAAGGCTCATACTCTACTTGGTTGTTTGTGGTGGGAAACTTAAAAGTAAGCATACTATGACTACCAACCATGTGCCGCTTATAGGGATGAGTCATGCATCATTTTCCTACTATTTGACGATCTGTCTATGAATTCGGTCCACTCAGTGCACGGTTCTGTTGTGTTCGGTGTCATTTATACGATGAAGTTTTCAAAGATTTGAGTTCTAAGGGCTTTCCTTGGTTCAAAGGAGATATCGAACTCGGACATTTGGATCAACCATTTCGTAATTTGTACCATAATATCTAGTTTGTAGACAACTTGCTTGAGTAGTTGGCTTGTCTAAACCATGATGGTGTGTGTCAAGAAATAACTTCACAACTTTCTTCAAGTTGTAATTAAGGAAAAATGATTTTCTTAATCTTCTTGTAACGTTTTTCTCGACCGGCTCTCTACATTGCTCGCCTCGTTAATGAGGACCGCACTTACCTCCTGGGTAGACATAATGAGGTAAATAAAGAATACTATTGACTAAGGATTTGGACATGACAGAAGAGATAGAAAGGGCATTTTTTAAAATTTAAGCCTTGCTCAAAATCAGGCATCCAATTGTATTTTACTTCTTTCATTAATAGCCTATAGAACGGGAATGTGTATTGGAATGATCTCAAAATGAATATACTAAGAATACTAAACATGCCATTTAATTTCATTCTTTTTCTTCATGGTCAGAGTCTCCATCTTGATGATCATGTCACACTTGTCGAAGTTAATTTTGATATCTCTATGTCAAATACAATCTAAAAAATTATCGGCCATAATTTTGAAGGTGCATTTCTCTAGGTTAAATCTCATGTTATATTGTCAGATATGGTTGGACACGCTAGTAAGATAACTGTCGTGTAATTGTATTTTGCGAGTGGGTTAAATCCCAATGTTTACTTCTAGATATGGTTGGACACACTGATGGGTTAAATCTCAATGTATACTTCTAGAATTTCAGTGATTCTCCTTCAAAGATATTGTTCATCATTTTTTGGTATGTATAGTCAGCATTCTTCAAGGTGAAGGGTGTGACTATAATTGATGTGCTCTGTCATGAAAGTGGTCTTATCCATGTCTGCTTCAAACATGGGAATTTGATTGTACCTATAATAGACATCTATAATCAACGCACATCTTCCATTCTTCTTATGCTTGTTTAATCAAGACAGCATTAAACAACCATTCAGTATACTTTAGGTCAAAAATAAAATCAACTTTAAGGAGTCCCTATATGGTGCTTCTAGTGGCCTAATTTTTTTAGGGGATTGTTGTCTCCTTTTTTCGGCCATGTATCGGACAAATAGGTCGATATTTAACTGATGACAAGTCATGTTAAGTTAATATCGGGTATCTCATCCGGGGAAATCACGTAGAGACCGGCATTGGCTTTAAGGCATTTGATGAGGTCTCTTTCTACAAGGGCGGGGAGTTCAACTCCTATATTTACTATTCTGGCTGAGTTTTCATTGATTTGGATGGCTATGAATTCTCCATTTAGAATTGACCTTTGGATTTTCATTCTCACTTCAATAGATAGGTCGCGCTCATCATTCATTAGGCGTGCATAAAATTTATGTAGTGCTTGGAATTTGAACATATGTGAGAAAGATGAGTTAAAGTTAATATTAATGGATCCAAAAAGAAATATGGTAGTACATGGTGTGGGGGTGTAATAAGGGAAAGTGAATGTGAGTGGCTCACTGGTTTCATTAAATATGTGAGAAAGTGTTGTTGGGTTATCAATTTAGGAGTCAATATGAGAGAGCATTTTTATATTGGAGTCTTTTTTTATGAACAACACATTTTATGAAAGATACCGCATATTCATCCAAAACTTAAATAATAGATATGTTCTCATCCAAAACTTTAAGATGATAGGTATATGAATCCTCTCACTTATAAATACTCAATTCTCCACTTTTCTAATCAATATAAGATTTCTCTACTCAGACTTGTTTTCTCAACAATTATAACTTTTGTTTCAGAGTTATATGGATTATGAAGGACTAGACTTGTTTTCTCAACAATTATAACTTTTGTTTCAGAGTTATATGGATTATGAAGGACTGCAGTATGCTAGAGGACTTTGTATTAATTTGATTGACATAGATGTTTATTCATTGGTGGTAGTGAAGTTTCATTTCAATGAGGATAATGTAAACCAAGTTATTAATCATCCGAGTCAGATTTGATTGAAACAAATATCTTGTATCAAGAAATGTTGAAATTCTACTTTTCTATGGTTAAGATATTTTACTGAACTAGATCAAGTGATTTTTAGTATGCTTTTACTACTCTAATCTCTATTTTTTTTCTTCTAGTTAGACCACCTCCAACGGTGGTTTTTCAGATTGGTTTGCCAGCTTGGCATTGAAATTGTCAACAAAAAAGTTGTTCTAGCTGGTGAACGGTACAAATATAAGCAACGGCTCTTCATATTTTTTTATTATTAAAATAATCAATTAGCCGTTGTGCAACGACTTTATTTTTTTATTTTTTTTTTACTTTTTTTATTTATTATAAATATAGGTTTGTTGAAAAATTGTATACCAATCATATTTTCTCTCACTTTTATTTACTCTTTAATTTTAAATTTCTCTCTCACAATTTCATCATTTTATTCATAAATTTTTAATTTTTTTTCCAACAATTTCTTCTCATTATCATTTTATTTCAAATTTTCATCTTTTTATTTCAAATTGCATTTATTTAGGCCAAATGGATCCTAATCATTTTCATTATCAACAAGCTATGTTCAATTTCATGCAAAATTATCAAAATCCTAATTCTCAAAATTCTCAAATTCCATCAGTACCACCAAATCCCGCCATATTTTTTCCGTCACCAAACAATCCAAATATGTATCAAAATCCTAATCCTCAAAATTCTCAAGTTCCACCATTTTCTACTCAAGTTGGTGTTGAAAAAGAAGAAAGGGTTCTCGTTAAAAAAAATCTCGAGAGCAATTTACAAGGGATGAGGATATATGTCTTATCCAATCATGGCTCAATGTTTCAAAGGATCCAATTGTGGGAGTTGATCAAAAAGCTGAGAGTTTTGGCATAGAATCGCTGCAAATTATAACCAGTATCGCAGGAAATTGCGAGAAAAGTTAAGTGGTTAATTAAAATTTCGATGGCATCGAATAAATGCGTCGGTTCAAAAATTTGTTGGGTGTTATAGACAAGCTGTCAATGGAAAGAAAAGTGGGACGTCGGAGAACGATATCATGGCTGCTGCACATGCTTTTTATGCTCAAGATCAAGGTACAACATTCAATCTTGAGTATGCATGGCGATTGTTAAAAGATGAAGCTAAATGGGGCATCATCAGAGAATCGATTGGAAATTCTTCAAAAATGACACAGACTTCTGCTAGTGGGGCATCATCGGAGATCCCTGATACACCTTCAAGTTATGAGTTTAACTCATCATCACCAATGGAGCGTCCAATGGGACAAAAAGCAGCAAAAAGAAAGGGTAAGGCAAAGGAAATTTCAAATGCAACGCAAGATGCAAGGAATAAAAGAGCAGAAACAATGGAAAGACTTGCGCAAAGTAAGGAGGACGAGATAGAATTAAAGGTAATGCAAATCATGATGAAAGGCACTTCTACTATGAACGAAAGTCAACGAGATATTCATGAAAAATATTATAATAAAATGAAGAAAAAAAATATGGACTGTAGTTAGTACCACTTTAAATTATATGTAAAATGGTCATTAGTACCACTTTAATTTATCAAATCCTATGTAAAATGGTCATTAGTACCACTTTAAATCATAATAAATATTATGTTGTTCAAACTAGCCGTTATTCAAACTAGCCGTTATGAATAACTAGCCGTTATGAATAAATAGCCTTTATTCAAACCATTATATATACTACCACTTATGTCATTGTTTTCTCATTCTCTTCTTATTCCTCACTAAAATGGATTCAGACAATTCAGATAATTACGATCAAGAATTTTGGGAGTTAGTTGAAGAAGAATTTATGGACGACAGTGATGAAGAACAACATCTTCAAAATGAATGTCAATTTGGAAGTTCCTCTAGGCCAAAGAGAAGAACTATGGTAGATCGAGATCGTGAAGAAGGGCACAATCGGTTATTCGATGATTACTTCTCAGAAAATCCAGTATACACAGATGTACAATTCCGAAGAAGGTTCAGAATGTATAGGCATGTGTTTCTTCGAATTGTAGATTCCCTCGGCAATCATGATGAATATTTCCAAATGAGGGTCGATGCAACTGATAAGATGGGTCTTTCACCATTGCAGAAATGCACATCTGTTATTCGTATGTTGGCATATGGGTCTCCCGCTGACATTGTAGACAAATATGTTCGAATCGGTGAAAGTACCTCAATTGAGTGCTTAGAAAGATTCGTTAAGGGCGTGAATGTTGTATTTGGGGCTGAGTATTTGAGAAAGCCTAACAACACTGATATTGAACATCTTTTACAAATGGGTGAGTCACGTGGCTTTCCAGGTATGTTGGGTTCCATTGATTGTATGCACTGGGAATGGAAGAATTGTCCTGTTGCATGGAAAGGACAGTTTTGTCGAGGTGATCATGGTAAACCCACGATCATGCTTGAAGCAGTGGCATCACAAGACTTGTGGATTTGGCATGCATTTTTTGGTATTGCAGGTTCAAACAATGACATTAATGTGTTAAACCAATCCAATGTGTTTAACGATATTTTGGAAGGACGTGCTGCTAATGTGCAATATACAATCAATGAAACTCCTTATAATATGGGGTATTATTTAGCGGATGGAATATATCCTGAGTGGGCTACATTTGTCAAAACTATTTCGATGCCACAAGGAGAAAAGAGAAAACTATTTGCACAACACCAAGAATCAGCTAGAAAGGATGTGGAACGGGCATTTGGAGTGCTTCAATCTCGTTTTGCAATAATATGTGATCCAGCGCGTGCTTGACACATGGAAACCCTCAAGCATACCATATATGCTTGTATCATATTGCACAACATGATTATCGAAGACGAACGACACACATATGGAGGTGATTTTGATTACTCTTACGATAATGTCGGTAACAACAACTCAACGACTGAAATATTTAACGGTCCTCATCCAAATCTTGCAACAAGACTACAAAGAAGAGCAACTCTTCGTGAAAAACAAGTTCATCGCCAACTTCAAGGAGATCTAGTCGAGCATATTTGGGAACGTTTTGGACATGAGGACGATGGAAATTAAATTTGAGTAATTATGTTATGTAATTTATTTTTATTGTTTTTAATTATATGTCATGTATTTGAGATTAATTTTAATTATTATTTTAAATTTTATGTTTAATTTTAATTTTATTTATTTTATATTTAAATAATTTAAATTATTATTTTAAATCAAATAAAATTTAGTATGAATAAAATATTGATATACAAAGTAAAATTGTGGGACCCAATATAAGTTCTTTAAAATTGTACCATTGGAATGAAAAATGGAGTGAGTTACTTCAAGATGATGTGACTTAATGGACCTCATAAAGAACCCAAATATGAGTAGCACCATTGGAGATGCTCTTTAGTTGTCAATTTTGAGCTCACAGGAGACAAAAGTTATGCAGACATTTCCCAACTAAAATAGATGTCTTATATCGAATGGTACATACTCATTAAACTCTTAATCAATTTAGAGCAACACTTTTCTCAGCAGAAGGATTATAAGGACTATGAACTAAAATGAAGAATAAATATAAAGTCTGATATCTTGATTATTGATATAATAGACTTCACAAAACATAAGGATATACAAATCCTATTTGAACAAAGTTTATAACTAAATTCTTAAATCTTCACAAATTTACAACCATCCTATTATCATATATAGAAATGGAAAGTGAAGAGAGTTGTTTCAAATATCAGTGCAACTATATGTAATCTGAATCAGTATCTCTTCTGAAATGTTGCAAATCTGGATGAGCATCATATCCTGGCCTTCTAGGATTCCTGCAAGATAGGAAAGAAAAGTGTGGATATTTTATGTTGAACATAAATAACATCATTTTCTGAAATATTATGGAAAATATGATATAATGCACCATACCTTGCAAATCTGTTGGGTTCAAAACCAGGGAGACCAGGAGGTCCAATAGGATCATATCGAGCACCTGGGGGAACGCCCCTATTTAAACAGATTCATTAGTTAGATTCAAACATAAAAATAAGCAGGAATGTCGAGGGACACCAGAATATGAAGCAGGAAGAGGTCCAGAATTCAAATCCTAGAAATCAACCTAACCCACTAAGATTTTTCTGTCCATAAAAATGCACAAGGCGCCCTTAAAGGCCCTGGCTGCTAAGGGATTTTAAATTTCTAGGGGCAAGAAACGCCAAAAGCCACACACCTCATGACAATAGGTATTAGCAATAAACAACACATATTTCTTGCTAGGACTTTATTTTTCTCCATTCTTTTACCAAAATATGGGATAGACTGTTGGACGGTAAAGAACCAAAATGAAAAATAAATTAAATGTAGTAGAGAAGTGGATGTGGCGTTGAATATGTGGCAAAACTAAACAAGGTAGAAATAGAAAAGACAACATTAAAGAGGGAGTTGGTATAACACATGTAGTAGAAAAGATAGTGAAAACCAGTCTTAGGTGGCTTGGTCATGTAGAGATAAGATTTGTGAATTCTATTATTAAAAGAGTAGATCAAGTGGAGGATAGTCAAACCAAAAGAGGTGGACGAAGACTTAAAAATACTAAAAGGAAAATTATAAAGAAAGATCTCAAAATTAATGAGTTGAATAAAATCATGGTATTTGATAGAACATTATAGAATCGGTTGATTCAAGTAACTGACCTCACTTAGTGAAAAAATGCTTGGTTGTTGTTGTATGGTAAAAGTAAAAGTACTAGTATAATATTTTTGGTAAAAAATGATGAGATTTAGTTATACATTAATATTAATTTTTAAAACTGTAAAAACCCATCTAAGATATAGTTATACATTAATATTAATTTTTTAAACTGTAAAAACCCAAGAAACAAAACATATAAAAAAATGTCTTCTCTAAACTATTCTTTATAGAATTTAACACTTCCATTTTTCATCATTTAAGCCTTGGGATTTAACTTACTTTTACATTTTAACTACACTGATCATCAAAGAGCAAAAACAAAAAAGGGTTTAAACAACTTACGGCAATCCTCCAGGAAAAGCAGGTCCTCTACCAATACCTCCACCAATACCACCACCAAACCAACGAGGGTCATTAGGCCCTACGAGCATGCTGCCTCCAAAACCATGATCACCCCTGACAATAAGTTAGGAATGTTAATTGTTAAAACATGAATATACAATTGTGTTAAGAGACAACAAAATGTAATGCACGGTTTTACCTTGAAGGATACACGCCGGCAGCAGGCCCTGGAAAAAGATCACTACCAGAGCCGATGCCAACTGGAGGGACAATGAATCTGTACAAACACAGCAAAATGTTGAAACTCAATGAATTAGTACAAAAGCCAAAAGCATTTATATAAAGAAAAAACTAGAGAAAGGGATCATAAAGACAGTATAGCATATAGACAAAAAGCTGATAAGTATGTCGCCTAAATGGAGAATACACAAACAATTTTGATGAAGACAAATAAGATCATAAACTAGTCATGTACTCCAAAGGTTTAACTGTATAAGTAACATCAGATAATTATTTTCTACTATGTGTAAGTCGTAAGTAATTGTTAAATTCACCAATTTGCAAATACGGGTGGTTACATCACAACCATTTGTGTTGGATAAATCTATACCAAACAGGCTGATCAGAACCACGAATATATCAAAAAAGTCAACAATAAGACGGTGTAAAATCACATACTTGACAAACAACTATTAAGCAGCATAAAAAGTGTAACATGGTAAAACTAAAAATGCATTAGGAGGAATTAGAAATTTCTTACCCAGGGTTATGATCATAATGATCATAAGGACCAGCAGGTTCACCAAATCCAGGAACAGGTTCAGATGTCTCTAATCCTCTTTTGTCACTGGTTTCTGAGCTGTAAAGGAAACAAAATCAATTTTGCAATCATTGTCTCAGGTCACAAAAATGTAACATATAGGGATTACAACTACGAGAGAATAAAACATAAGTACAACTAACAAAATTGATATCCAAACTGTTCCACTTTTTAAAACACAACCCAAAGATTTATAATCATCATATTGAATGTGCATCAGTATCTTTGATTTCCATTACGCGAAGATTTAAAGTCCTATGCAACACTCACCAATAAATATTTCATCATCAACCCCTATGACTCACACAAACACTCCATCTTTCACTTTTTCTTCAACAACCCAAAACCAAAATTGAAAGGAGAAAAAAAATGAGGTTTTTTCATTTTCAATTTCACTTATTGTTTTACAGTTTCGAACAATGCTTTCGAGACCCTGTTTAGGTTCTTTAAATCAAGTATCAGTTAATGATTACGAAGAGCTAAATAGTGTTACTAAAGTGATGACACTAAGCGAAGACGGACAGAAGTTACAACGAACCAATTATCAATAGTACACATCTTTTTTTGAGGGAACGAAGTGGAAATCCGAGTGGATGTCGACAGTATAGTGATTCAGCTGAAAGACAGTTTCTTTTTTTAAAAAAATTGAATTATTGTAACAATAATTCATTCAAAACAGAGATC